GGCAGAACGTCCAAAAATATAACCCGACGTGGGCATTTATTAAAATCATGTGCACAAAGTTCACAGCCTCAATCCTGCTGTTCTCCTTGCACACATCCTGCAGCCACAAGGATCTCACACACCCTACCACCCCTCAACAGACAGGGAAACAGAGCCTAAATACACACACTCTAATCAGCACAACAAGACACAGGTGAGGGGGGAGGAGACAACACAGGACACCAGGTGCACACAATCATCAGCCACAGACAACATATGTACTGTGCAATCACACTAATAAAGTGCAATATTAACCGGTCAGTCCATAGCAGAGGTGTGGACTCGAGTCACATGACTTGGACTCGAGTCAGACTCGAGTCACAAATTTGATGACTTGAGACTCGACTTGACAACATCACAAAACACTTGCGACTCGACTTGGACTTGAACACCAATGACTCGGGACTTGACTTGGACTTGAGCCTTCTGACTTGAGGTGACTTGATACTTTAATTCAGAGGTCTCCAACACGCCGATCGCGAGCTGCCGTTAGAAGAGCAGACTCCCGTTGGGGAGGGCAGAATCTTCAGCCGGCAGCCGCTCCTACTCTTGCTGAGAATCCTTGCAGGCAGGGGCGGGTCTTTATTTAGCTGGGCCACCATGCGGCCAATCATATGCGAGGACACACAAGGATCATACTATTATGTGAAAGAAGGGTGGGGGGCACAGCATGTGTAGTGGTACAGGCCAGCTGCACAGAGCCGGATTTAAATGCAAGCGCGTCGGAAAAAGTCAAGAAATGAGCGAAAACCGAAAAAAGAAGCCCCATCTGGCTGCTTTTCAATGATATTGGAGAAAGCAAAGCTGAGTGCAGGATTTGTAAAATGAAAATAACCTTCAGAGCAGAGTTTTTTTTGGTAACCACTCAGGATTTATTGTCAGAGGTGGGAGAAGTTCAGACAATTAAAAAAAGTTACATTCAGGGTTCCCGCGGGGTCTTAACAAGTCTTAAAAAGTCTTAAATTTGTTAATCTGAATTTAAGGCCTTAAAAAGGTCTTAAATATGATTTAGAAGGTCTTAAAATGTATCGGATTTGAAAGGTACTTCTGTGTTGCGATAGCGTCTAAATGTGTTTTGGGGGAAATGTCCGGGCTGCAAAGTAACCAGTGCGGTAACAGCCTTTCAGTTCCCCCCAACAATTTGTATTGAATTAAATCAACATGGAACCAGTAATCACTAACTTTGTTTTCCCCGGCCCCTTATTAGAGAACACCCAGCTAGTAACCTAGCAACCAAGCTTCAGCTCATGTAGCATATCTTCGAATCTACTTACAAATAAATATGGGGAAGTGTAAGTTCAACCGTATTTGGTTGGAAAACATCTAATTTAGTGCTTGGTTGAAACCAGTGGAGGGAACGTGTTTGAAGCCCACTGCACCTTTTGCAAAATAAATTAGCGTTTGTTTTGCTAATGTAGCGTTAGCTAGTGCAGCAGCAGCTAATGTAGCGTTAGCTAGTGCAGCAGCTCCCGCAACAACACCGGGGGACCTCCGGGCGAAGTTTGGGTCTACGTTAACCCTAAAAGCGGAGGTGCTGTAGACGCTAAATACCGTAGATAAACACCAATCATACAACAGCAACGATGAAATAGTGTAGCCAAGGCAGCAGAGCTCTGAATATAGCTCTTGTCACACACACACACACACACACACACACACACACACACACACACACACACACACACACACACACACACACACACACACACACACACACACACACACACACACACACACACACACACACACACACACACACACACACACACACACACACACACACACACACACACACACACACACACACACACACACACACACACACACACACCACACACACACACACACACACACACACACACACACACACACACACACACACACACACACACACACACACACACACACACACACACACACACACACACACACACACACACACAACGCTGTGTGTAGGATTCACGTGGGAAGGTTGCTTACGTAGTAAAAATCCAAAAAATAGGTACAGAAATGTTCCGATTCACAAAACATTGCGTACCGACGGAACTTCCTACGCCGGTTTCCCTTTATAAAGCACAATCGAAGCAGCTTCACGTAACGCCCATATTTGCCTATAAATAGTCAAAGAAACGCCCATTCATTCATTCATTTTGACTGACTTTATGAAGAAGATCGCAGGAAATGACGACAGAACAGCTAAAAAAGACATCTCACACCGTGTCAGATTTTGGTTATTTTGGGGAGGTCGAGATAAATCATATTGTTTGGTGGATGCAGTTTGAACCAGAGTGGCAGCATGGAGGTCGGATCGTCACCAAAATAAATAAATAAGTGGTCCGAAAAAGGTTAATGACAAAATAAATACACATAGCCTTCCTCAGGCAGTGTGTACCGGGGACAGGAGACACCCTCTTGATGAGAAACTCTAAGAAATGATCGGGGAATCCCTCCGGAGTGGAGTCATGACGACTGGATCTGAATTATTTGTTTGTATTTGGTGGTTTGTGTTCCAGCTGTCGATCAGCAACTATATATCCATAATCCACCAGTTAAAGGAAATGCAACTAATGTGATGTGTTATATTAGCTGTACAATTTACCACATAGGGTGTTCTTAGTTTCCATACCTCCTGTGTTTTACGAGCAACTTATCAAGTCTTGGCAAACGGCATAAAACATGATTAAACGTGATAGTATATAAAACCATGCTCGTATCTACAACCTATAGAAATGCAAAATGGCGTCAGTTTAGACGTAATTCTGTCCTCCTGCTTACCGCATCATTTATGAGAAAACATTTCATAACATTAACACAACATATTCCAGGTGGTTTTAAATAACATATCCGTATTTATTTCTCCACGTTATGTTTTTGTGTGCACTGAGGAGTCTCAAACAGGCGTTTGTTAAATAATTTTAAGATTGGCTTTAATCAATGTTTGAAGATGAATTCTTCATATATGATAAATGAGAGGTAACATTTTATTTATGGTATTATTTCCACATATTTCTCTCCATTCTTCCTTCTGCCAACGCGGTGTCGCAGCTTCTCGTCTCTCCCGTTTTTGTGCTTAGTGCGTACGCATGGGTTAGAGTTTGCATGGAGGACCGCACATTTTACCGTCAAGTTAGTATTTTATAAATCGCAAACATTGCGTAGAAACTGGCGTACACCATTTTTTGAGCGTATATCCCTTTATAAATGAGGCCCCTGGTCTCTGAACTGCATTATGCTGCGTTCACACTGACACAATGCGAATATTCGCATTGCGTCAGGCAGGCGAAAAACCTTTTAAAACCTGTAGCTGCTCCGTCCACACTCACAACAACGTCCTAAAGACAGAAATAAAGCAGCGACTGTATTCGCCATGACACAGACAGTCTGTGGTTTGTTCATGTTTAACTTTTGTCCAGTTTCTGAACAGATATGAGGAGCTGTGAGCTCTGAATGCTAACAGCTAACGGCTGATGTTTTGGTTTTCTGATTCAACGTCAGTGACGGCAGGCTGAGATCCTCACTGCTGATTAGCTACCGCGAGAACGTGTCAGGCAAATTTGATGCTTGAGTTGAAAAAAATGTATCACACACACACACACACACACACACACACACACACACACACACACACACACACACACACACACACACACACACACACACACACACACACACACACACACACACACACACACACCACACACACACACACACACACACACACACACACACACACACACACACACACACACACACACACACACACACCACACACACACACACACACACACACACACACACACACACACACACACACACACCACACACACACACACACACACACACACACACACACACACACACACACACACACACACACACACACACACACACACACACACACACACACACACACAAAAGTATTACTTGTTCATACAGTTGAATGTTTGAGCTTCACTGTGCACTGCTGAATGATTTATGTGCAGAGTTTGACTCTTGAAGGCTGTTTCTTCTGCTCGGAAATGGAATATATTTGTTACATATTAATAGAATTTTTGATTTGATTTTGGATTTGATAATGGGAGAAGTAGTAGATGGAAAAGACACCAAACACTAATTATTCAAAGTAGAGTATTTCATTGTATATACGGTAATACTAAGGAGCCTTAGACCTATATGAGGATATAATGTTTGACATTATTGATATTAAAAAAGTGATTTGTTTTCCATGTCATTTGTGTGTTTTTCTTATCAGAAAGTGAAGTTATATATTTGTAAGCTCCAAATCCAAATGTTTCCCTCAATGGCCTTTGTGCCCTGGCATGTGGCCTTTGCACCCTGAAAAAATGTGTGACACCAAAGGTCAAATGGCCTTGCCCCTAAAATGACGAAATGTCAAGCCTGACTACAGGAAAGGGGAAAATCCAAAAAGCACAATATGGCCTCTTTAAAAAAGAACACCAGATTTCCAGTATATTGTAGTATGAGACAGCTGCCAACATTTCAATAGTCCTTAAATAGAAAGCTCACCTGAATGAAACATCCAAACCATATTCAAGACTATAATAAAATAATGAATCACAAAGTGTCAAAAAACAAAGACATGCCAACCATATTTTATTTAGAGATGCAGCTTATTGTATTTTTAACCACAGCACAATGGCAGATAAATATCTCCTTGCCTCACACATCTCTGTGCACCTCCTTAGTTCGCTAGTCACTAAGAAGGCTAAATGTAGGTCAGAATATTATTTTGTTAAAGTCCTTTAAAACGCTCTCTGCTTTTCAGTCCCAACCTTTAAAAAAATGTTATGTAGCTTTGGGGATTTCATCAGAATCAGACCCAGAATAACTCTATTTACCCCGGGGGGAAATGTGGTTACGTGACAGTTGCAACATTTTAGAACAAATATTTTACAAAACATAAGAAGTTGAAGTTAAAAATGATCTGTGTGTGTGTGTACCTTTGATTGGTGACAGCCCTGCCGGTGTGGGCTTTGAGCTCCCACAGCATGGCTCTGCCGTCGCTGACCATTAGCGCAGCGCTATTCTCGTTGACGGGGCAGATGACCATGCGATATGGCCGGACTGTCTTGGTGACACGGATGGCATCGCATTGAGAACGCAGGTCGTACACCAGCTCGTGGGTACTCTGCTCGGGGTCTGAGGGAGAGGAGAGATGGAGGAAGTTTAACAAATTGAGAAGTAGAACAAAAGGGCAGGATGGGAGGGTGGTGGATCGAAAAATAAGGATTATTGTGGGAGATACAAATTGATAAACAAATTAAAGGAAATTAAAAAGGGGAAAAGTGGATAAAGACATTGAGTTGATGTCATTTTAAAAAGGGAAAAATAAAAAAGGTAGATTGGAAGTAGATAGCAGCGTGAGAAAGTCTGATTGAGACACCTGTGAAGAAAATGTTTTAAGTAAGTGTGAGAAGAAACGGGAGATATGAGGAGGGATTTGAGGAGATAAGAAAATAAGACGAGAAATAAATGGCTCACAAAAGGAAATGGAAGGAAAGAAAAGAAATGGAGTAACAAGAGGAAGAGATAGCAAGGAGAGTAAGTGGGGGGAGGAAAGGAGGGAGACTCAGCAACAGAGGACTCCCACTGGCCTATAACACTAAGCTAAAGATAAATGAGAGTAAGAGGCTAAATGCTCACTGGAGCATAAAGCAAGGCTACAGGCTCTGACTGCAGTGTGTCTGAAGAGATGATGATGGGGATAACACAGGAGTGAGGATGGGGGGAGAGAGTACAACCCAGTTGTACCATGAAGAGGTTTTATTACCTGTTGCTTCCTCTTGGGTTGTAGTGGAGCGACACACTCGGAGGGTGATACAGCCGTTCTCGTGGAGACAGTAGAGGGCGTCCCGCTGAGCGCAGGGAATCACCTGGACCCAGGGAGCAATGTGTGTTCAGAATCAAATGCCAACATGTCTTTTGAATACTTGGTATTCAACAGGTGGTTATGTATGGGATTAGTTTTGTATCATAAAGATAAAGCAACACTTTCTCAGAATAAAGCAAAACTATGAGTTTAAAAGAAGAAAAAAACGAAGTCAAGCAAAATAAAATAAATTTCAAAAATAAAACTATAAGTTGCAAACAAATCATTTGTGTAATCATGTAAACCATAAGTATTTTTTCTTTGTTTTAACATAGGTTTTTGTTTGCAGTTCTTGTTTCTTCTTTCTCAATGAGCAGACTTTTGCTCTCGCTGCAGCTCTCTCTTTTGCGATCCCTCATTTTTTGTTTGAGATTCTGACACAAACCTCCCAGGTGGGCCAATAGTATGAAGCTGCAGCGTTGGAGGCTGCACTCTCAGGACCGCACTCCCACGACCCTAGTTGTTTTGCGTATTGTGTTGTGTACTTACCATAGACTGTATATATAAAGTAACATATTATATCTTATATTATTAATATATATATAAATAATTCTGATAAAATGTTATTCCAGCGTCAATAAATGAGTGTTAATCCCAGTGTGTTTAGTGTACAACATCACATGTAATTTCCGTACCTACAGGGTGACTTGGAGAGGGTCTGAGTCCGACCCTTGTCAATTAACTATGGGGGTCCCTCAGGGCTCTGTTCTTGGTCCCCTCCTCTTCTCCCTGTACACAAACTCGCTCGGATCAGTCATTAGCCCGCATGGTTTTTCTTACCACTGCTACGCTGATGACACCCAATTAATTCTGTCCTTTCCCCGCTCAGAGACCCAGGTCGTTGCACGCATCTCTGCTTGTCTAGCTGACATCTCTCAGTGGATGTCTGCTCACCACCTCAAGCTCAACCTTGACAAGACTGAGCTGCTCTTCCTCCGGGGAAAAGATTGTCCCACTCTTGACCTAACAATCAACATCGGCACCTCAGTTGTTTCCCCGACTCAGACTGCAAGGAATCTGGGTGTGACCCTAGATAACAACCTGTCCTTCACTGCAAACATCGCTGCTACAACCCGTTGCTGCAGATACACGCTTTACAACATCAGGAAGATACGTCCCCAGCTGACTCAGAAAGCGACTCAGGTTCTGGTCCAGGCTCTCGTCATCTCACGCCTAGACTACTGCAACTCCCTCCTGGCTGGTCTACCTGCATGTGCCATCCGACCTCTGCAGCTCATCCAGAATGCAGCGGCTCGTCTGGTCTTCAACCTTCCTAAATTCTCCCACACCACTCCGCTCCTCCGCTCCCTTCACTGGCTTCCGGTAACTGCTAGAATCCACTTCAAGACACTGGTACTTGCTTACCATGCTGCGAATGGATCTGGCCCTTCCTACATCCAGGACATGGTTAAACCGTACACCCCAGCGCGTGCACTACGCTCTGCATCAGCCAAACGACTCATTGCGCCCTCGCTGCGAGGGGGACCCAAGTTCCCATCGGCGAAAACACGTGGGTTTGCTGTCCTGGCTCCAAGATGGTGGAATGAGCTCCCCATTGACATCAGGACGGCAGATAGCTTCCACATCTTCCGGCGCAAACTGAAAACTCATCTCTTTCGACTCCACTTCGAGCGTTAGAACTATTAACAAAGCACTTTTATACTAATAAAGGACTGGCTTACCTAAAGCCAGTTGAGTAGCACTTGAAATGTTTGGCTCTATGAAACCTGATGTACTTATATGATTCTGTTTTCTTCAAGGTTGTGTCTTCCTGGTCGAATGTACTTATTGTAAGTCGCTTTGGATAAAAGCGTCAGCTAAATGCAATGTAATGTAATTTCACCTTCAATTCACGGTTTTCAAAACGTTAGCCACATGCTAATGCTAACCGGAAATGAAGAATCTTCAGAATAAAAGTGTTAAATTAATAGTTAGTGTGAACTTCCGGGTTTTTCAGAATAAAACTGCTTCAAATTAAAACCCTGTATTTAATTTAAATTACGTCATATCAACATTGAAACATATTGAGGTTTGGGAGGGAGGAAGCAAGATTAGGATTAGGTAAAAAGGTAGGGAGTGGTTAGGGTTAGGATGGGGGAAGGGAAGGGTTAGATTGCGCACTGCATTGAGGGGCTTCAGGCGTTCATGTGAACGTGCTCCGTCACGTGCCGCCGTGACGTGCTCCGTCGGACCTGTGTGTGAGGTTCTACAAGTGCAGTCCTGTATTTTTTGACGCCTGTAGTGTAGACGGGCCGTTCTGCTGTCTCCGACGCTGCAGCTTCATGCTACTCAGGTGGGCGGGACTTTCAGGGGTGCGTCCCCATTGGCTACTCAGTTTTTGAGTGACAGCCCAGTCCTCCAGCGATTGTACAGTGCAGGCAGCTGCGGTGCGGTAGCTAGCTGAGCGTGGACAGAAGACCCCCAGAAGAACCAGCATTTCAAATATTATAATGGGCCTACTACAAGTGAAAATATATGTAAGTATTGATCATTTGTGTTGTTTGTGCTATACGGTCTGTTTCTTTATTGTGTTAAGTGAGAAGTAAAGCTGTGCTATGAAAGTTAGCTTGTGCTACCTTTAGATCCATAACAATGCAAGCTAAGTAGCCTAACAGTTAGCTACATAGCTAGCAGTGAGTGAGCGTTCAGACACCGGCGCACACACTCATGTGCCTGACTCTACCAACAGGTTTTCATGATTCTGTTTAGATATGCAAGTATAAACCATGATAGCTTATTTTATTAACACGCTAATTTGATATGAAAATCAATGGAGGCTGAGTTAACTTTGTAGGAAAACCTACCGTCCATGATGCCCCTGAGCTGTGTTTTATTTGTTAACTTCATATTTTTCATTTCCTAAAACATTTATTTAAATCTCATATTAACAGTGTGGATCATTGAGACAGCGTGGCGTCCAGAGTCTTATCCCGTTTTCCCACTTCCTCTGAGGGGACAGCACGGAACTGCGGTCAACTCAGCCGTCTCTCAAATTTGCTTGGTCAAATGAGCAGTTCTTCATTTCTGAGTGCGCGATTTATAGCGCCTTCACGGTAATCGCTGAGAAGCGGCACCAACGCAAGAGTAAAAGAATGCATGTTTTTTCTGCTTCATGCGATACAAATTATTTTTACCATGAGTTCTTAAAAAAACTAACACTGTTTGACTCAGTCCTAGTTTGACTGCTACCAACAATAAAATGAAGTACTTTTACTGTCTTTTTTCTGGGTAATACTCTCAAATTCCCCTCCTGAGAACAAAATCATGCAACTTCTGCTATATTTGATGAGATACAATGATTTTTATCGATGCATCCTTAATAAAAGTCATACTGTTGAACTCAGTACTACTTGGACTAGTAGCACAAGTACAATCAAGTACTTTTACTGTGTACTTTTGAGTAATCCCCTGTCAAACTCCCCTCCAGAGTACAATAATGCATGTTTTCTGCTATCTTTGATGAGAGATAAAATGATTTTGTGCAATAAGTTCTTAATGTAATTGGAACTGTTGGATTCAGTACTACTTGGACTACTACTAAAAGTACAATCAAGTACTTTTACTGTGTACTTTTTGAGTAATCCCCTGTCAAACTCCCCTCCAGAGTACAATAATGCATGTTTCCCTGCCATCTTTGATGAGAGATAAAATGATTTTGTGCAATAAGTTCTTAATGAAATTGGTACTGTTGGATTCAGTACTACTTGGACTACTACTAAAAGTACAATCAAGTACTTTTACTGTGTACTTTTTGAGTAATCCCCTGTCAAACTCCCCTCCAGAGTACAATAATGCATGTTTTCTGCCATCTTTGATGAGAGATAAAATGATTTTGTGCAATAAGTTCTTAATGAAATTGATACTGTTGGATTCAGTACTACTTGGACTAGTAGCACAAGTACAATCAAGTATTTTTACTGTGTACTTTTTGAGTAATCCTTTGTCAAACTCCACCCCTGAGTACAATAATGCATGTTTTCTGCCATCTTTGATGAGAGATAAAATGATTTTGTGCAATAAGTTCTTAATGTAATTGGTACTGTTGGATTCAGTACTACTTGGACTACTACCAAAACTACAATCAAGTATTTTTACTGTGTACTTTTTGAGTAATCCTTTGTCAAACTCCACCCCTGAGTACAATAATGCATGTTTTCTGCCATCTTTGATGAGAGATAAAATGATTTTGTGCAATAAGTTCTTAATGAAATTGGTACTGTTGGATTCAGTACTACTTGGACTACAACTAAAAGTACAATCAAGTACTTTTTACTGTGTACTTTTTGAGTAATCCCCTGTCAAACTCCCCTCCAGAGTACAATAATGCATGTTTTCTGCCATCTTTGATGAGAGATAAAATGATTTTTTGCAATAAGTTCTTAGTGAAATTGGTACTGTTGGATTCAGTACTACTTGGACTACTAGCACAAGTACAATCAAGTATTTTTACTGTGTACTTTTTGAGTAATCCTTTGTCAAACTCCACCCCTGAGTACAATAATGCATGTTTTCTGCCATCTTTGATGAGAGATAAAAGGATTTTGTGCAATAAGTTCTTAATGTAATTGGTACTGTTGGATTCAGTACTACTTGGACTACTACCAAAACTACAATCAAGTATTTTTACTGTGTACTTTTTGAGTAATCCTTTGTCAAACTCCACCCCTGAGTACAATAATGCATGTTTTCTGCCATCTTTGATGAGAGATAAAATGATTTTGTGCAATAAGTTCTTAATGTAATTGGTACTGTTGGATTCAGTACTACTTGGACTACTACCAAAACTACAATCAAGTATTTTTACTGTGTACTTTTTGAGTAATCCTTTGTCAAACTCCACCCCTGAGTACAATAATGCATGTTTTCTGCCATCTTTGATGAGAGATAAAATGATTTTGTGCAATAAGTTCTTAATGTAATTGGTACTGTTGGATTCAGTACTACTTGGACTACTACCAAAACTACAATCAAGTATTTTTACTGTGTACTTTTTGAGTAATCCTT